GTGTTCAGTTGTTGGACTTCTGTGCTAGTCACGGTTTGTCCATCACGAACACCATGTTTGAGCACAAGGGTGTCCACCAGTGCACGTGGCACCAGGACACCCTAGGCCGGAGGTCGATGATCGACTTTGTTGTCGTATCTTCTGACCTTCGGCCGCGTGTTTCGGACACTCGGGTAAAGAGAGGGGCAGAGCTGTCAACCGATCATCACCTGGTCGTGAGTTGGATCCGCTGGCAGGGGAAGAAGCCGGTCAGACCTGGCAGACCCAAGCGTGTAGTGAGGGTTTGCTGGGAACGTCTCGCTGAGACCCCTGTCAGACGGACTTTCAACTCACACCCCCGGGAGAGCTTCTCCCAGGTCCCGGCGGAGGAGGGGGATATTGAGTCTGAGTGGACCATGTTCTCTTCCTCTATCGCCGATGCGGCGGCTCGTAGCTGTGGTCGCAAGGTCTCTGGTGCTGGTCCCGGCGGCAACCCCCGAACCCGGTGGTGGACACCGGCAGTAAGGGATGCCGTCAGGCTGAAGAAGGAGTCCTATCGAGCCATGATGGTTCGGGGGACTCCTGAGGCAGCTGTCCAGTACCGGCAGGCCAAGCGTGCCGCGGCCCGGGCTGTTGCAGAGGCAAAAACCCGGGACTGGGAGGAGTTCGGAGAGTCCATGGAGCATGACTATCGGTCGGCCTCAAAGAGATTCTGGCAAACTGTCCGGCGCCTCAGGAGGGGGAAGCAGTTCTTTGCCAACACCGTGTACGGTGCGGGGGGTGAGCTGCTGACCTCGACCGGGGATATTGTCGGACGGTGGAAGGAATACTTCGAGGTTCTCCTCAATCCCCCCGTCACGTCCTCCGCTCCGGAGGCAGAGGCTGAGGATGTTGGGGCGGATACTTCTGTCACCCTGGCAGAGGTCACCAAGGTGGTTGGCAGCCTCCTTGGTGGCAAGGCGCCGGGAGTGGATGAGATCCGTCCTGACTATCTAAAGTCTCTGGATGTTGTAGGACTGTCTTGGCTGACACGTCTCTGCAACATCGCGTGTATGGGGTGCCGTTTGTAAAAATTCTGTTAAAATTTTTTAGCTGAACATTTTTCTACATTTAGCTCACTTTCCTCACATTTAGCACATTTTCCTCACATTTAAGACATATCTATATCTAAATATTATATCCATCCATCCATCCATTTTCTACCCTTTAATCCATTTCTGGGTCAGGGGGGTGGCAATCAGAGATGCCACCCAAGTCTCATAGCACCAGCCCCTCACTGATCCTCTGCAGGTGGTGAGTCCACAGGAGGACGGCTGCTGTCTGAGTGTGAGCATAGCCTTGATCTTTCAGTGGGGGCTTTGGGCAAAGTGGGGTTAAGTGTCTTGCCCAAGGACACAACGACAGCAGTCATCAGTGGGAGTCGATGGAGAAGGTGCAGAGGTGGGAATTGAACCCACGACCTTCTGGCCGTAAGACCAATGCTCTACCAACTGAGCTACTGTTTATCTATATCTAAATGTTAAATGTTATATCTAAATATTATATCTATATCTAAATGTTATATCTATATCTAAATGTTAAATCTAAATGTTAAATCTAAATGTTAAATCTAAATGTTAAATCTAAATGTTAAATCTAAATGTTATATCTATATCTAAATTTTATATCTATATCTAAATGTTATATCTATATCTAAATATTATATCTATATCTAAATGTTAAATGTTATATCTAAATATTATATCTATATCTAAATGTTATATCTATATCTAAATGTTAAATCTAAATGTTAAATCTAAATGTTAAATCTAAATGTTAAATCTAAATGTGTCGCCAAGTGTAAAGCTAAATATATAGAAACCACGCCCACTGCAGTGGCTTCAAATCCAGTGGGCCCGCCTTCCGTGCCGTGTGGTGAGTGGGGGCGGTGCCGCGTGTTTTGAACATAGGAATACACGTGGACCGACGTCACGGCTCAAGGCATGTTGGGTCTCCGGCGCCATCGTCCTCGGCCACGGCACAAAATTAGCATTTTTGTGAAGATTCTTGCTTATTTGCTGGAGCCAGAGTGTATTCACTGTAAACTAAGCCACGTGGAGTCCCGTGAGATTCCTGTGTGATCCTGTAGGGTTCTCACCACACGGCACGGAAGGCGGGCCCACTGGATTTGAAGCCACTGCAGTGGGCGTGGTTTCTATATATTTAGCTTTACACTTGGCGACACATTTAGATTTAACATTTAGATTTAACATTTAGATTTAACATTTAGATTTAACATTTAGATATAGATATAACATTTAGATATAGATATAATATTTAGATATAGATATAATATTTAGATATAACGTTTAACATTTAGATATAGATATAATATTTAGATATAGATATAACATTTAGATATAGATATAACATTTAGATATAAATATAACATTTAGATTTAACATTTAGATTTAACATTTAGATTTAACATTTAGATTTAACATTTAGATATAGATATAACATTTAGATATAGATATAATATTTAGATATAACATTTAGATATAGATATAATATTTAGATATAGATATAATATTTAGATATAGATATAACATTTAGATTTAACATTTAGATTTAACATTTAGATTTAACATTTAGATATAGATATAACATTTAGATATAGATATAATATTTAGATATAACATTTAACATTTAGATATAGATATAATATTTAGATATAGATATGTCTTAAATGTGAGGAAAATGTGCTAAATGTGAGGAAAGTGAGCTAAATGTAGAAAAATGTTCAGCTAAAAAAATTTAACAGAATTTTTACAAACGGCACCCCATACGCGTGGCGATCGGGGGCGGTGCCAATGGAGTGGCAGACCGGGGTGGTGGTTCCTCTCTACAAGAAGGGGGACCGGAGGGTGTGTTCCAATTATCGTGGGATCACACTCCTCAGCCTCCCTGGTAAGGTTTACTCCAAGGTACTGGAGAGGAGGTTACGGCCGATGGTCGAATCTCGGATTCAGGAGGAGCAGTGTGGTTTTCGTCCCGGTCGCGGAACACTGGACCAGCTCTATACTCTCCATCGGATACTCGAGGGTTCATGGGAGTTCGCCCAACCTGTCCACATGTGCTTTGTGGATTTGGAGAAGGCGTTCGACCGTGTTCCCCGGGGTGTCCTTTGGGGGGTCCTCCGTGAGTACGGGGTCCGGGGTCCTCTGCTGAGGGCCGTCCGGTCCCTGTATGACCGGAGCCAGAGCTGCGTGCGCATTGCCGGCAGTAAGTCAGACCTGTTCCCTGTGCACGTTGGCCTCCGCCAGGGCTGCCCTTTGTCACCGGTTCTGTTCACTGTATTCATGGACAGAATTTCTAGGCGCAGCCAAGGGTCGGAGGGGGTCCGGTTCGGGGACCACAGGATTTCATCTCTGCTGTTTGCAGACGATGTTGTCCTGTTGGCTCCAACGAATCAGGACCTACAACATGCACTGGGACGGTTTGCAGCCGAGTGTGAAGCGGCTGGGATGAGAATCAGCACCTCCAAATCTGAGGCCATGGTGCTCGACCGGAAAAAGGTGCCCTGCCATCTCCGGGTGGGTGGAGAGGCCCTTCCTCAAGTGGAGGAGTTCAAGTATCTTGGGGTCTTGTTCACGAGTGAGGGAAGGATGGAGCGTGAGATTGACGGGCGGATCGGTGCAGCGTGCGCAGTGATGCGGTCGCTGTATCGGACCGTTGTGGTAAAGAGGGAGCTGAGCCGAAAGGCAAAGCTCTCAATTTACCGGTCAATCTTCGTTCCCTCCCTCACCTATGGTCATGAGCTTTGGGTAATGACCGAAAGAACAAGATCGCGGATACAAGCGGTCGAAATGAGCTTCCTCCGCAGAGTGGCTGGGCGCTCCCTTAGAGATAGGGTGAGGAGCTCAGTCACACGGGAGGAGCTCGGAGTAGAGCCGCTGCTACTCCACGTTGAGAGGAACCAGTTGAGGTGGCTCGGGCATCTGTTCCGGATGCCTCCTGGACGCCTCCCTGGGGAGGTGTTCCGGGCACGTCCCACCGGGAGGAGGCCCCGGGGAAGACCCAGGACACGCTGGAGGGACTATGTCTCTCAGCTGGCCTGGGAACGCCTTGGGGTCCCCCCGGACGAGCTGGAGGAGGTGTGTGTGGATAGGGAAGTCTGGGCGTCTCTGCTTAGACTGCTGCCCCCGCGACCCGGCAACGGATGAAGCGGAAGAAAATGGATGGATGGATGGATGATAACTGTCCTCCCATTTTTTTTCCTCTGACCAATCAATCAATCAATAACATTTTTTATTTATAAAGCACTCTCCATACAGAAAATGCAACACAAAGTGCTTTACAATGAGGAATGCCAAAAGAGGAAGCTATTGTGCTGATTTTTACAACAAACATAATGTGTCAGACCTTCTCACAGTGCTATCTTCACAACAACACCTTAGGTTTCTTTTGTCATCTTTCCTGTCTGTTAGAGCCGGACAGATCCGTTCTCTCCTCAGCATGATACAAAAATGCAATGTGAAGTGCAAAAAAAAAGAAAAACACAGTGGGATGCATTGCCCTACACCCTTAACAGCCACAGGCTGCAGCCAAGTTCCCAGGTGTATCTGCACAGTCGTAAACGTCCCCTTCCATCCCTCATCCCACACGCTCGTATGGGCGCTGGGCGCTCTACCTGGGTGGCCGGGGCAGCTTGTCTCAGCAGGCTCACGATTAATTAAAACATTTCCAAAATAGAAGCGTCTACCCTCTCCCAGCCAATCCCGAAGCGCGCTCGTGACGTCACGGTGGTCCAGCAGAGGGGCTGGTGTGACTGTGGAGTGGAGCAGGAGTCCCGCTCTGAGCGCATGGAGGCGCGCACCTGCACTGGTCACAGCGCACTCACACAGAGGACAGGACTCCACTGCTCTGGACCGCGCTGAGGAGCCAGGCGGAGTGCGCTCTCAGCTTTGCTGCTTTCTACATTCTACTGACACTTTGGACATATATTGAACATTTGAATCTATCCACGGAATCCTCACACCATGGAATTATGGATAGTAATAACGTCGTTGTTCAGCTGCTTGTTCGGGGCAAGTGCAGACTTTGACGGCAGGTAAGACGCGCGTCGCTGCACGCGTAAAGGATGCTTGCTCATATTAAAGCGTTGCTCAGCCTGCTGTTTAGCCCACTTTCATGAATGTTGGTGTTGTTCAAGAAAATAAGTCCTACTTCCACCAAAACCCGTTGGCTTTCTTGCGCTGTAGCTTACCACCGTGTATGGAGTGAATGAATAATGACATGTAAAGAGTCTTTGAGGGTCCAAAAAAGCGCTCTATAAACCCGATGCATTATTCTTATTATTAACAAGAACGTGTTCTTCCTCCACAAAATCCGTCTATCCTTTTCACATCTCAACTCTTGCTAAATGACTATTTCTATCCAGGTGCCCTTTGCTGCAGTAGCCGACACAGATGTGTCTTGTTATAAAGTGATGTGACAGCACATTGCCCGGTGCCTCATGTTCCAACATGAACAGTGGAAGTATGCGCAGACAGAGGAGTGGAGACGCGCCAGAGCCCAAACATGCACGTGTTTGAGATTTATCTCTGCTATTTTACTTTCATGAAACCCAGGAGTCATTTAGATGTAATCTCACCTGATATACGGCACCTTTCACTTGGCATGTCTGGGTTATTACATTTGATTCCACCTCTGTCCTACTGAGAATTTAGTGCACTTGATAAAAACACGTTACAGTGCACCTCATCTGGAATGGTGCCAAATACGTGTGTGCAGATTGTGATACTTCTAGGAACATGCTTTTCACATAAAGCTATAAACTGCAGCTCAATTGATACTCGTTTTATCTTAGAGTATTCCTGGGTGATTACAGCTCTGTTGGGGTCATGCAGCCTTTTCACAGCACCAAAAATAATTACTCAACTATTGTATCATTGACATCTATTTCAATAATACATTTGCAATTAATCGATCAACTTGTTAAAGGCCTGACACATGACGACAATTAGAGACTTGGATGTGAATCCCAAGGTATAGAATCTATAAGACCCATCAAGACCTGTGTGCCTTTAATTGGAATCTTGCAAAGTGCCTGGTAGCGCCGATCAATAAGCTGTGTTTACACAGGCCGCAGAGGTTGCCCACATCAGATTAGTGTGTGTGTGCGTGTCTGTGTGGTGTGTGTGGGAGGTCAGAAGATCACCACTGTCTTCTGATTCATTGCACACAAAATTGACCAACAAAGATGTGCACTCTTGGTGGTCCCAAGCACTAAAAAAATGCTTGTGTCATCCTGTAGCAAAATAAATATGTGTATGTCTTAGTGCCTATACTCTGCTGAAGCACAAGTCTCATCTACAAACTTTTTAATGCATGCAAACTTCGAAGATCATTAATTGCGCAGAGATGTCTTGCATCTATTTCAAAGGCACCACCTGCTTGTGGATACGTCTGGAAGAATGCACAATTAATTCCTCTGCTTTCTGAACAGGCTGTTGCTTACGGATTTTACGAATTCAAACTTGGTGCAATATGGCTTTACATGGCTTTTTAATACTGCCATTTCAAAGTATCTTATGTGTGACGTGAAGAGTAGATGGAATGTATTATTATTACAGTACTGAAATATAGCATGAATGGGAAATATCATGCTATTTTACTAACTCAATCCAAATCTGTGTATAATAGTCATTGCAGTCAAGCTAAGACATTTTTGCTCAACTAAAAGCACACCTTTTCCTTTGAATAACTGATAAAAAAGTGGGCGTGGCAGAGTCATTCAAAACAATAGCCTAAACTCTACCCGCAAGACTTACATTTCATGCATAAATAAATTAAATATTGCATTTGATCTGGCTTGAAGGTCAAAATTAACATCAAAATCATCGGAAAATATTCTCCAGGTATTCAAATTATGTCACAGTAGAAATCATCAATCACTCAAATGACTTGAGACCGACAGCCCGAGTGAATGATGTGTTGCAAACTGATAGAGCCTATTTACGAAGGAATTTTTTTTTTCTGAAGATCTATTTTGACATTCACAACCGTTCACAAAACCGTTCATCAAAGACATGAAGAAGAGTTTCAAGATGTACTTCATCCTTTGCATTTGACCCATCCTGCAGTCTCAACCATTACGTTTTCCTGTTTACTCTTAAATGCATTGAGTTGTCCATTTACAGGCAGTGTATGGAGAGAATCTTCAATTAAATTCTATAAAAGTCAATTTTGTGGCTATGCTTGCGTGTGAAAGCGATAGATTCAGTCAGACCTCTGAAGCTTTGCTGGGCAGGGCCTGGGTCGTACTGTGATGGGAGACCTCTGGGAACACCAAGTGCCACAGTGGGGCGGCTATGGCTGCAAAGTGCCAAACTGTTGTTGTGTCCTTAGGCAAGACACTTCACCCACATTGCCTATAATGAGTCTGGTGAGTGTGAATGGTTGGTGGTGATCGGAGGGGCTGATGGCACATACTGGTGGCCTCTCTTCTGGCATTGTGCCCCAGGGCAGTTGCAGCTATAGCAGTGTTTTATCACCACTGTGTATGGAGTGAATGAATAATGACATCTGAAGCGTCTTTGAGTGTCCTGAAAAGCGCAGTATAAAACCAATGCATTATTATCATTATTAATTCAATTCAATTTATTTTTGTATAGCCCTAAATCAACAGTAGTTATCTCGGAGGACTTTACAAAGTTGTCGATTCGCCAACACAGATCAGAGAATCAAACAGTTCAAACGCAGGAAATACAGTAATAAACAACACATAGAAGGGCAGATGATCAATGTCCATAAATGTTAATGGATTTCCATACATGATGAACGTCCTGGATCACCACTGTCCTTAGACCCTCCTGCATCGGCAAGGAACAACTAAAAAATAAAACGTATGGAAGAGATTTATGGAGGTGCCAGACTGTGAAGGGCTTTATAAAGAGCCATGAGAATTATAGAGTCAAACATGGAAGTAAACATCTTTTAATAAGATTACTCTGAGCTATTTTTCTTGTCAAAACGTAAGCCACTGAATTTTGAATAAGCTGCAGTCGTTTCATTGATTTAATCAGAATCAGAATCAGAATCAGAATCATTTTTATTGCCAACGTAAGTAACAGGAGGTCACAGACTAGGAAATTGCTTTGGCTCAGTGCAACAGTCAAAAAGAGATAATAAAAATAAGAATAAAAAACACTTCTAAAGAATAAATTTAAAATAGAGTTACAGTTACTATTTACAATATACAAGTGCACATGGTGCACACAATGTAAGGTGACAGCAGTACAGTGAAGTAAAGTGACGTATGATGGGCAGTAAAGTGACTTTATAAAGGGCGGGGGGACAGGTTAAGAAGTGTTCAAGAGTCCAACAGCAGAGGGGAAGAAACTGTTCTTGTGGCGGGAGGTTCTAGTCCTGATGGACCGCAGCCTCCTGCCTGAGGGGAGTGGTTGGAATAGTCCATGTGCAGGGTGAGAGGGGTCGGCTGTGATACGACCAGCCCGGCCTCGAGCTCGGGCGACGTACAGGTCCTGCAGCGATGGAAGGCTGCGGCCGATCACTTCCTCTGCAGAGCACACAATGCGCTGTAGTCTCTGTTTGTCCCTGACTGTGGCTCCAGCGAACCACACGGTGATGGAGGAGGTGAGGATGGACTCGATGATGGCCGTGTAGAACTGCACCAACATCTGTGCAGGCAGCTTGGCTTTCCTGAGCTGCCGCAGGAAGTACATCCTCTGCTGGGCCTTCTTGATGAGGGAGCTGATGGTCGGCTCCCACTTGAGGTCCTGGGTGATGGTGGTGCCCAGGAAACGGAAGGACTCGGAACTCGGAAGAGTAATACCCGAGAAGAGGGCGCGACAATAATCTAATCTTGTTCTGTCAAGCACTTTGAGTTGCCTTGTGTATGAACTGTGCTATACAGATAAACTTGCCTTGCCTGCCTTGCCTAATCTACAAATGCATGGGAAAGTACTTCTTTGTAGAATATGTGTCTACTAGAAAGAAATTCACAATTGTTAGTTTTTTAAGGGACAATTTAGTTTATTTGTTGCTTCGGATTGAATCTCCCAATCAGGCTTTTAAATATCTGATTGGGAGATGTGTTTTATGTATTTTTTTATTGAATTTCTGCAGTTTTGTCGTAATTCATATATTGTGTTTCTCTTTTTGTATGTATCCCCACTGGTGCTCTGTCTGCAAATGAAGTTCCTCCCGTATGAATTATGTTATTACATCAAGGTTTAGTTACCTGCCGTCTGGTTCCAGACTCAGAACCCCAATGGTTCGGAGTCATAGATATAAACATTCTTTTTGTACCTGCAGCTATTTCTACACTAAACTTGGACCATAGACAGAGAAAATAGGGGTTGAATTTTTGCTTGAGGATTTTTTGTCTTCTTTTTTATCCTGTTATTTATAACTGCCATTGACCTTACTGGAAGACTGTACGTGGGCACCTTGTTGGTCGGAATTTTTTTTTTTTACTTGTTCCTGTGCTGTGAATCAAATTGACCCATTGGGGACATGAAATAAAGTGAAGTGAAGTGAAGTGAAAGTTTCTCTCAAAGTCCTCTGGCTCAAAAGCGAAAGACCAAATGTGTTTTTTTTTTTCTTTTTCTCTGTAGGTCCACTTTCTGTTGTATCTGGATTTGAAACTGAAATGGATTAGTTGATTATAGTTGAATCGAGTGCTCCGGTTTCCCCTATCACTAAAACATGTAAAAAATGAACATCTAGAGGTGGGTCCCCAGATGCTGCACTGCAGTGACCACTGCTCCAAGTGGCTTTGCAAGATGGGTCAAATGCAGGGGAAAAATGGTCCGGCGGGGATGTTGTTTACAATTGTTAACGCCATGAATAACAATATGCAAGTACAACTGCTTATCAAACCCGGAAATAATAAACCTGTTTGTATTACTTTTGACAGCTGAAGCAGCTCTCAGAAGCTGCTTTAGCTGTCAAAAATCGTTCATACACTGTAAAATACAGCTGTAGGGCACTCCACACTGAGGGGCATGAGCAGGACTAAGGGCTACGTTATAATGTTCTATTGTTCTATGTTGAACAAGTTGTTGCAATATATACAAGGTGCAG